ATCTTGACAAGTTATGGATAACATTGCAAAGAATTAGTATACCAGAATACTTAATTGTGTTCATGAAGAACCTGTATATACCAAGTTGTTGAGAACAGAACAAATGGATACTGAATGGTTTAAAATAAGGAAAGGTGTGTCAAGGTTGTATCCTTTTACCATACTTATTCAGTCTGTATGCTGAGCACATAATCTGAGAAACTGGACTGTATGAACAAGAATGTGACATTAAGATTGGGGGAAGATTCATTAACAACTTGTGATGTGCAGATGATACGGCCATGCTTTCTGGAAGAGAAGAGAACTTAAAATACTCTTATGAAGATCAAAGACCGTGCAGCCTTCAATATGGATTGCATTAAAATGTAAAGAAAAGGAAAATCCTGACAACTGGAACCTACATTGTTGTTGTTGTCAGGTGCTATCGAGTCGGAACTGACTCATAACGACCCCATGCACAGCAGAACGAAACGATGTTCGATCCTGGGCCAACCTCACTACTGCTGCCACACTTGACGCCATCAATGAGGCCACCTGGCTGATTCGTCTCGTTGGGGGTCTTCCTCTTTTTCTGTGACCCTCCATTTTACCCAGCATGACATCCTCCTCCAGTGACTGTTCCCTCCTGACAATATGTCCAAAGTATGAGAGACGAAGCTTAGCCATCCTGGCCTCCAAGGAGCACTCTGGCTGCACTTCTTCCAAACAGATCTATTGGTTCTTTTGGCAGTCCATGGCACTTTTAGTATTCTCCTCCAACACCACAACTCAAAGGCATCAATTCTTCTATGATCTTCCTTATTCACTGTCCAGCTTTGGCATCCATATGAGGTTATTGAAAATACCATGGCTTGGGTCAGGCACACCTTAGTCCTCAAGTTTACATCTCCGCTCCTCAACACTTTAAAAAGTTCCTGTGCAGCAGATTTGCCCAATGCAATACATCGTCTGATCTCTTGACTACTGCTTCTGTGAATGTTGATAGTTGATCCAAGAAGAATGAAGTCCTTGACAACTTCAGTCTTTTCTCCATTGATAAAAATGTTGTTTATTGGTCCAGTGGTGAGGATTTTTGTTTTCCTGACTTTGAGATGCAACCCATACCGAAGGAAATTGTCAGTGACTTAATTTTGCTTGTATTCACAGTCAACTGTCATGGAAGCACTAGTCAAAAAGTCAAACATAGTAGGCAAATTTGCTGCACTAAACCTCTTTAAAATGTTAACGAACAAAGTATCATTTTGAGGACTAAGGTGCACCTGACTCGACATGGTATTTTCAGGTACCTCATATGTGTGTGAAAATTGAACAATGAATAAGGAAGACAGAAGAATGAATGCATTTGAATTATAGTGTTGGACAAGAATATTAAAAGTACCATGGGCTTCCAGAAGAACTGACAAATCTACGAGAATGCTTCATAGAAACCAGGATGACAAGACTTGATTGGCACAGTTTGCCAGCCAAGAAGCTCATCAAGGGGAGGCAGAGAAGGAGGGTGGAGCACCCAGCCCTAGATGGAGTTCCTTGTAGGCCTAAGTCTTTCAGTGGTCAGGGCACCTCATCTGAAATAGTTCATTCAGGCCCTAATTATGTTTGAGGTCATGGTCTTTGTTCCCAGAAGGAATTCTATTAGACTCTGAGGGCAGTTGGTGGTAGGGCAGCTAGTTATGAGAGTTCCTGCTTGTTGTGGATTATTCGGGGACCTGCTCTGCACATTCTGTCACATGCTTCCCGACACAGTCATGGTGCTGCAACCATATAAAAGGAGTTCTTAGTCACCTCCTGCTAAATTAGCTAATACTCAGAGACAAGGCTTAAAGCAAAGTATTTGTGTATTGAAATCTTCCAGATCTGTATTCCCCAATTGGAGGGAAGCCTGAGGCTTTTAAGGGTGAAGAAAATCAAGATTACAGAACTTGTGGTCAGGCATTGTATTGTTTTTCCTTTCCTGTAGTTAGGGTAATTGCTTCAGTAGTTAGGATGGTCATGTCTAAACATGGTGACTGTTCCAACAGTTCTTGTTCGCTGATTTTGCCTTTGTTCCTGGGAGGAGAGTTTTCCTCCTTCTTTGAGCTACAACTTCTGCTTTGAAGATTGAAAAGAAGTAATTAATTATGGAATGTAGCGATAAAGGGAATTAAATTTTAACTATATAGTCACTGTTCTAAGATGGCTATTCAGGTTCTATTTTACTTTGTTGTTCTTAAGTGCCAGGTAAGCTAAAATCTTTTCATTACCCCCATTTCTCAGTGCCCTTGCTTCAGTGTACTTGGTGTCTGACTCACAACAGTGTGGCTCTGACCTTTGGCAGAGCAGGAGTTGTACAGGTTGGGTGGATGAGTGTGAAGGCTGGCCATGCCTTTGGCCACCAAGACAAAGTGGAGAACAAGAGAGAATTGTACCTTTCTCATCACCAGCCCCGGTTGTACATCTGCACCTTCAGAATGCTGTCTGGATCCAGTGCTGCTTGGAGAAGTTCAAGGTGGCTGCACCAAGTCAGGCCTGCTGACAGTTTACCCATCTGTTTCCTCTCCCTCTGTCCCTGTTCAGCTTCTCCCCCTAGCCAATATTCAGTCCACTTCCCTATTCTCTCCTTTGTAGTTCATTGTTCCAGGGTTGTCATCTGGTCATTTGGTCTCTCGTGTTTTTGTTGTAGAGGGTCTGTGTAGCATGTCTGCCTAAGCCACCATTCTGCTGCATGTTCTGTTCTTGATGTTTTGGGGAGCTTCAAGTGGCCTGAAAACCTAGCTAATGAGCCTTAAATTCCACCACCATGCTCATGTTCTAATTTCACTCTAAAGCAGTTGTACTTTTTGAATGACCTACTAATGTGAAAACCCTTTAGTAGGCACATTGTTCTATATTCTATACTAGCATCATTTTTCTTTTAGGATTCTTTCTCTTCTTTTTGAAGGTTCTTTTTCTGTAGAAAAAATAATGCTCTCTGAAATTGTTTGGAACTTTATCATACTTAGAGAAAGTTTTCATTCTTATATTTTTCTCATTTGATTTCTCAGGAAGGTGAGAGTACTTTTATCCTTTGTAAGAAGATTGCATAGCTTGTTGTCATGCTCAAGTTCAGTGGAAGAAGAAGCTGAGACATCGGATTCTGATTTAGTGCTTGTCAGCTATCTCATATTTAGGACAGTGACAGACCTCTGCCATATAATTTCATCATAAGCAGTCTAAGTTGGTTTTCATGCTCCCTCTTTTATCACCATGGTTATATATTCTATTTTTAAGCATCCAGTAAAAGATACTAAAGGCATTAGGAGATGCCAACTACTGATACTTTGAACTTTGAATCCTGAGGGATGTTGTAATTCCCAAATCTCTTACCCAAGCTGTGGCTCACTCATTCTGGGGCAATCACAGTTGAAACATCCAAGAACTAGTATTTCATAAGGAGATGATGCCTTTATTAATAATAATAGTCATGACTTGTTGTTGTTGTCAAGTGCTCTCGAGTCTGTTACGACCCTTAGCGACCCTGTATGTGGTTTCCAAGGAGTGTCTGGTGAGCTTGAATCACTGCCAACCTTACAGTTCAAACTGACCTTGAAGTCTAGCACATTAATCCACGATTGTTAATTATTGTTTAGTGCTGTTAAGTTGGTTCCGACCCATAGCGACCCTGTATAGCATTTCCAAGGAGTAGCTGGTGAGCTTGAACCATAGACCTAGCAATTCAAATCTACTTTACAGTCCAGCACCTTAACCTACTGTGCCACGCCAAGGACTCCGTAGTCATGATGGTGGTGGTGGTATGCTGTGGAGTTGGTATGTTGTTGTTGTTAAGTCCCTTCATGTCGGTTTCGACCCATAGTGACCCTGTATAGGGTTTCTGAGGAGCAACTGGTAAGCTTGAACCACCGATCTTTCAGTTCAGCCGGCCTTGCAGTATCGTGCATTAACCCACAGCGCCACACAAGGACTCCATAGCTAGTACTTAATAGAGTGAAATTGTGTATCAGACTCTTTTGTAAGTACTTTATATGTCTTATACCTGACAACCACCATCGGTTCCTTCTTCTTTTCCCACTAGAAAATTTATGCTAAGCTTCCTTTGGATTCCTGGTGTGGCACTGTGAGTTAATGCACTGGACTGCAAAGTCGGTTTGAACCGCAAGGTTAGTGATTCAAGCTCACCAGCTGCTCCTTGGAAACCCTATATAGGGATGCTTTAGGTTGGAACTAACTTGATGGCACTTAATAACAACAAAAACAAACTTTCCTTTAGCTTATTGTTTCTATTTCAAAATCAGCTGGAGAAAATAAGGAAAAACTGCTGTGGTAGTTATTGAAGAGTGGGGCATATATATAATCCTATGAGCAGTTTACATGATTATTCCAGCTCACATTTTGCAGGAATAGGGATTGCATAATGATGGACAGTGTTTCCTAAAAGATATTAAGCTTGTTAGCAGTAAGGAGCCTGGTGGTGCAATGGGTTAAGCACTTGGCTTCGCATCAAAAGGTTGGCAGTTCAAATCCATTTAGTGACTCGGGGGAAGAAAAATGTGGCAGTGACTTCCATAAAGGTTGTTGTTCACTGCAGTCTAGTTGGTTCCAACTCACAGTGCCCTGTTTCGGGTTTCTAAGGAGCAGCTGGTGGGTTTGAACCACTGACCTGTGGTTAGCATGCCAGTGCTTATCCTATATATAGGAAATCTGTGACTCAGTTCTGCTCATTCACTTGGGGTCTCTATAAGTCAAATTGATTTAACACCTAATAATAGCAAGTCCACTAGTGTGAGTTTTTAAGGTTATATTTATAGAAACATGATTATTTTTACTGTTAACTTTTCTATATGCAGTTACTTTTCCCTTCTCTTTTTCTCCACTCTCTGGCATTTAAATTTACTTTAAATCTAAAAGATAGCTTAAAAGTTTATTTGATTTGTTTGTGGCCTAAGTTAAGAACAAGAATGTAATTTGTATTTCTTCTCTTTGATTCAAAGAAGAGGTGTTATCAAAAGAAATTTTTTTTTTTTTAGGTAACTGAATGTGAGATATTTCTGTCACTTCTGGTGAAATTTCTGGATGCAGATAAACCACAGTGGTTACGAGCAGTTGCAGTGGAATCAATACATAGACTGTGTGTGCAGCCTCAGCTTTTAAGGTAAAACCTCAGCCATATTTTGCTAAATGATCAGGTTAATGTTTATGCTAGTAAAAAAGTTTATTTTTTCTTGTATATTTTTATAAGTGTTTTCTCAACAAAGAATATTGTATGCTGTGTTTATACAGAGAGGAAGAGAGTGGGTATGGAAAAGAACTGTGAGATGAACAAAAAGTGTGGTTTAGTGTTTTATGTTCATCTGAATTTGCTCAGGTAATGTAGTGGTGGTGGTGTGCTGTGGAGTCGGTTCCCACTCATTATGACCCTGCATAGGGTTTCCGAGGCTGTAAACCTTTATGGGAGCAGAAAGCCTCATTTTTCTCCCCCTGAATGGCTGGTGGTTTCGAACTGCTGACCTTAAGGTTAGCAGCCTGCCCTGTAACCACTACGCTACAGCCAACATAATTTATTTTAGTACCTGAACTTCAATCTGAAGTCATTGCAGTAAAATTAAGTTTTGATAATATAATTGAAACATTTATTGATAATGTTTGCTATAAAAAAATGTTTAAACATTGCAGTATGCTCAAATGTCTTTACAGAAACATTTAAAATTGTTTTTCAGGTCATTTTGTCAGTCTTATGATATGAAACAGCATTCTACCAAAGTTTTCCGTGATATTGTGAATGCACTGGGATCATTTATCCAGTCATTGTTTCTTGTCCCTCCTACTGGAAATCCATTGGCTACAACAAACCAAGCTGGTAAGGGCTTATTATATATGATTTTATTTTTTGTTTTCCACCATAATTTGCTACCTCTACTATTCTGAAGACTCCATGGCACATAACCACCACCACCAGTATTCTGAAAGGATATTTTATAGAACAACTGTGACTATAGAAATTCAGATCACTGAAGTATGCTAATAGTAAAGATTTAAAACTTGAAGAGTAACTTGATCTCATTCAGACAACTGTTTCATTTCTTTCCAGAATACAGTTTTTTTCTTCTCTGATATGCTTTTAGTTTCTTCAGTTACATAGTAACTTAAGTTCAGAAGCTAATCTTCATTTTAGAAAAGTTACCATTTGATGCCTCTTTATAAAGACCCTAGAGATTCTGTTAGTCTTCAGTCTCTCTTATTGTGGTAAACATTCGTATAATAAAACATTTGACATTTTAGTATTTTTTTACATGTGTACAGTTAAGTGACATTAATTATACTCACTGTGTGGTACAGCAGTCACTATTATTCATCCCTAATTTTTCCCCCATCACTTACCAGAAGCTTCAGTGCTCTCTAACTAATGACTCCTTGTTAGTCTCTCTTTTAAGGCAAGGGGTGAACTTGATTTAAACTTGTTTGAGAATCATTATATGACTTGTTTCTTCCCTTTACCTTTTTCTCTTCCACTTTGTCTTGCTAGCATTTTCCCTTTATGTTCTAACAAAATATATTTTATAAAAAGTGTCATTATTTTTACTTATTAGTAGCTTTTAATTTTTTATTGTAGAAATATATGTAACAAAAAAATTGTCATTTTAACTACGTTAAAGTGTACAATTCAGTGACATTAATTATATTCATCATGTTGTTCAGCTACTACCACTATTTCCAAAAGGTTTTCATCAATTATTAGTAGCTTTCATATACATAGAAAAAAATGTTTTGGAGAAACAGGGAGACTGTAGTAGCTCAAATAGGATTGATAACTTTCACTTATTTAATATGCAATTCTTATAGTATAAGAAAAAGAGCTCTGGTAGTGTAGTGGTTACGAATTGGGCTACGAACCGCGAAGTCAGCAGTTCAAAACTAGCAGCTGTTCCATGGGAGAAAGATGAGGCTTTCTGTTTCCGTAAAGATTTACAGCCTCAGAAACCCTGTTACAGGGTCGCTATGAGTCAGAACCGACTCCACAGCACACCACCACCACCATAGTGTAAGAAATTCTAGAAAATTAACCAGGTGTTTATTTGAATATTACAGACTTGTAATGGGTGTCTTTACTTTTCCTCTCCTTATTTAATAGGAAACAATAACTCAGGTGGCCCAGTCTCAGCACCAGCAAACTCAGGAATGTTGGGAATTGGTGGAGGTGTTACTTTACTACCAGCATTTGAATATAGAGGGACTTGGATACCTATTTTGACTATAACAGTTCAAGGAAGTGCTAAAGCCACCTAGTAAGTAGTAGTTACATTATTTTATAAAAAAGGATATTATGCAATCCTAAAATGATTTTTTTCCATATGTAACACTTTTGACCTACTATTCCTAAGGCATTCTGTTGGATCACTTTTCTTTGTAATGGGCACATATATGGATCTCTTCTAGTTGGTTGGTAAGGTAGCTGTCTTCCAAATTTCTTGTCAAAGATGACTGAGCACTTCCGAAGAAAAGCGATCCAGTGGAATGTGAAAATTATCGAATAATGTCAATATCTCAGCATGCAAGTAAGATTTTGCTGCAGATATTTAAAAAATGGTTGTAGCAGTACATTGATAAGGCACTGCCAAAAATGCAAACTGGGTTCAGAGTAGGATGTGGAATGTGAGATGTATCTGCTGACATCAGATGGATTGTAGCTAACTGCAGAGAATTACCGGAAAGATTTTTACCTGTGTTTTATTGGCTATGCAAAGGCATTGGACTATGTGGGTCATAGCAAACTATGGATAACATTGTGAAAATGGGAGTATCAGAACATTCAATGGTACTCATGCATAATCTGTACATACACCAAGAGGCAATCAGTCCAACATAAGAAAGGGATACTTTGTGGTTTAAAATACAAAAAGGTGTTCATCAAGGTTGTATCCTTTCACTGTACTTCTTCAGTCTGTATGCTGAGAACATAACCAGAGAATCTGGACTAAATGAAGAAAAATGTGGTATCAGGATTAGAGAAAGATTCATTAACAATCTGCGATATATAAATAGCACAACCTTGTTGCTGAAAGCTAAGAAGACTTGAGGCACTTGCTGATGAATATCAAAGACTACCACTCAATATGAAGAAAACAAAAATCCTTACATTTGACCAACAACCAATATCATGATAAACAGAAAATGCTGACGTTGTCAAGGATTTCATCTTGGAACCATAATCAATGTCCATGAACACAGCAGTTAAGAAATCAAAGGATGTATTGCAATGGGTAAATCTGCTGCAAAATACCACTTGAGAATTCTCTAAAGCAAAGATGTTAATTTGAGTACTAAGGTATGCCTGACCCAGAGCGATGATATTGGTAGTCGCCTTATATGTATGTGAATGTTGGACAGGAAAATTAAAGAATTGGTGCCTTTGAATTGTGGTGGTGGTAAGTGCCGTCAAGTTGGTTCAGACTCATAGTGACCCTGTTTAGGGTTTCCAAGGAGCAGCTGGTGAATTTGAACCGTAGACCTTGTGGTTCAAATCGACCTTGTTGTCCAGTGCTTTATCCCAGAGTGCCACACCAGGACTTGAATTATGGTAGTGCCTAAGAATATTGAATATAAATACCATGGTCTGCCAGAAGAATGAACAAATTTCTTGGAAGAAATTCAGCCAAAATGCTTCTTAGAAGTGAAAATGGCTAGACTTGGTCTCTCATACTTATCATCAGGAGGGATCAGTTCTTATAGAAGGACATCATGCTTGGTAAAGTAGAGGGTCATTGCAGAAGAGGAAGACCATCAAGGAGTTGAATTGATTTAGTAGCTGCAACAGTGGCCTTAAACATAGCAATGATTATAAGGCTGGCACAGAACTACATAATGTCTTCTTTTGTGTAAATAGGTTTGCTGTGAGTCACAACTGACTTGATGGCATGTAACAACAACAGTCCAAGGTGCTTTATAAGTTTTATTTTTCATAGTTTAAGAATTCCACCTAGGACTGGTTTTTGTTATTGCTGTTTATTTACTCATTTATTGAAATGATTTGAAAATTGTTAACAGCATTATAAAACAAAGTGACTTCTTTACCTATTACATAGCTTTTTGGTGGAATATATGGCTTGATTTTAGATAACCTGAACTCAAATGTTAGTTTTCTAATAATAACTGAGCTATCTTGAACAATTTAAGCTTTTAAATTAAAATATCATTTCCTCATCTGTAAATTGTTGTTGTTAAGTGCCATCAAGTTGTTTCCAACTCATAGCAACCCTGTATAGGGTTTCCAAGGAGCAGCTGGTAAGTGCCAACCACCGACCTTGCAGTTCAAACTGACCTTATGGTCCATTGTACTGTCTTGCAGCACCACACCAGGATTCCTTGTGGTGCTTTTCTTAGTTTCTGTAATTCATAAATTAGGGAAATAATTTTAGATACTTGAATCTTTGTGGCTTCTCACTAATGTTATGATTTTTTTTTCATAATTTCAGCCTAGAGATGTTGGATAAAGTTGAGCCTCCAACTATACCTGAAGGTTATGCCATGTCTGTAGCATTCCATTGTTTGTTAGACCTTGTTCGTGGAATAACTAGTATGATTGAAGGAGAGTTAGGAGAGGCAGAAACAGAATGTCAGACTACCACTGAAGCAGCTTCTTCTCCAGCACCGTCATCAGTACAGCAAGATTTACAGTCTACATCAGACCAAACGGATAAAGAAATAGGTATAAGACTGTGATTCTGTGTATTTCATTTTTATTTTGAAATAATTTAAAATTTATAGAGAAGTTACAAAAATAAGAGTTCTCTTTTGCCCTGATTTCCCAGTTTTACTGCATTTTACTATGTTCATATACATGTCACTATACTTTTTTCTGAACTATTTAACAATAACAATTTATTTTAAATAGGATGTGTAAGATATCTCCAAATCAGTTCAATGCAAAAGGTTTATATTACTCTTCATATGTGTAACTCCCTTCCCCAACAGTGAGAAACCTGGCATCCATTTTATTCCACATATTTATTTGTTTGCTCAATTTGCCATATATCTAGCCAATCTTCTGGCTGAGACAGCTGGTTATTCTTCACTCACCCTCATTTTCAGCTGTTCACACAGACTGAAATGTTGGCCTGATGAATGGGAAAGAGAATAGGGACTGATGAAGATAAATGTTGTTGTTTAAGTGCTGTGGAGTCGGTTCCGACTCATAGTGACCCTGTATAGAGTTTGCAAGGATCAACTGGTAGGTTTGAATCATAGATCTTGATGTTAGCAGTTCAGTGTTTATCCTACAACATCATTTTCTCTTGAGATTAAATTTAATGGTGATAAATTAGATTATTCAATTTCTTTGTTTTATTCAGAATTGCAGAATTTACTGATTTTTAAAATTTATTTAATTTTTTTTGGTGTTTTACAGATACATATTTAAAGATAGCAACCAGTTAACTTGTTTAAGACTTCTTGAAATCAAACTACATTATGGTTTTCAATTTGCTGTTTGTTCAGATATATTGTAAATATTAAAAGTTTATTTGATGTATTGTGAAATGACCAGGTAGATTTTAGAATAATTATCATCAGATATTGTGTATCTTTTTCTTTAAGTTAGCAGAGCCGTCTGGGAGGAAATGGTGAATGCCTGCTGGTGTGGTCTTCTTGCTGCACTCTCCCTTCTTCTTGATGCCAGGTATTAACGTCTCTATAAGTTTCATATGACACATAGCAAGTAAAAAAAGAATTTAAGTGTATTATTTCAGTTTGAGCTAATAATATATTTTTCTCTAGTACTATTTATTTATGCTGTACTATTCCTTAATACTCTTTTTCTATTACTGTTTGCCTAGAATTTCCTTGCTCTGTTCCCCACTAGAATTCTTATCACCTTTGAATGGGAAATGTAATCCCCCCAAATTAAAGAATGCCTTGCTTGTTTTCAGACTTAACCTACTACTACTTTTTTTTTTAATTCAAGAGTTTTCATGTTTCTTAAAATTGTATAAATTAGAAATTTTATATGCATTTTTCCTATTAGTTCACAGATTCACAGGAAATCTAATGAGGTTTACATAGTTAAATAAGTCTGTTTCATGAGGCCAGAATAGTACTTTGAACCTGTGCAGAAATGGTATGGAGGCCATGTCTGATTTCTTATGACTTCACAATGGGGAAGGAAACTGAAACTCAAAGTCAGCTCAAGGCCAATAACTATGAAGTAAAAGTCAGACATGCTTTCACCCTTCGCAACTTGCTTTGCCCTCTTCTGACACCATCCATCCCACCCACACCACTCTCTGCTTCTGATCTGGGTTTGATAATCCCTTTCAATAGTCACACAGAACTGAGACAGTATGATTATGGTGTTTATTAGGGAAGTGAATAGAGTACAATTCAGGATCAGAAACAACTGCAAATGCAGTGCATTGCCAGTCAGGAACGCCCCTCTTCTCTGCCTTACTGCAGACACACCTCACTTTTGTCTTCTGCCTCTCAGCTTCATAATCCCTTTACCTCAGCCTTGTTCAGGCCCGCGTTAAAGGACATATTCTGTTAGTCAGCTTCCTGAGCCTTGTCACCCAGCTTTACTCAAACCAGGGGCTGGCAAGCTGACAGCTGTTTTGTGTCTGTCTCCTTGCTACTGCCTCTGTTGCCACCACACCTCAAGCTCTGTACATTGACTCTGCTTTCTTGATTGTTCTGGGATCATCTGTTCCTGCTTCTGAGATGGCTCCTTTTAAATCTAGCGGAATGGCAAACTAACCAATCCTGGTGTAGAATCCTATATACCCTATTTGCCTGGTTCCACTAAATCATTTTGGTAAGGGTTAAGAAGACTTGGTATTGAAAAGTAAATTCACAGTACCGTAATCTTTTATTCACAAATGAAAGTAAACACAGATTTTTTTCTTTTATGAGTATAATATGTAAAGATTTTGAAGCATTTTCAAAACTCTTTTTGTTTTAGAAGGATGGGAATGTTTCCAATAGATATGTGAATGACAAAATATATATACAGAATGGCACATTCATGAACAGGAATTCTATGCTGTTTTCCATATGTACAAAATAATCTTTGTATTATAACTACAGAAACTTCCCACTGAATCACATGCATGAGGGGAAAAAAAAGGATAAAAAAATTGTATATGATTTTAAAGTACAATTTGTATTCCAAGTTGGGGACATTTCCAATGCAGTGTGAGACTGGAAAAACAAACAAACATATGGTTTCTCCTATTCATTAAGTGGAATTCTTTAGTTTCATGTATTTTTTTAAATTATGCAGTTTACAGAAGATAATATGCATTTTTCCTGTTCATTCACAGGAATTCTAAAGAGTTTTATGTATTTTCATAGTACTCTGTATAAGGAGAATGGGAAAATTCCCAATACATTTGAATTATAAAATTATTCTCAGTTTCTCTGTTTCATCAATATAAAATATGACTTTTACATGTTTTCAAAGTAATCTTTATATCAAAGGGTTGAAAATTTTTTTAGTTCATTGTCAGAAGGAGAAAAATCTATATTTTATTCCATTCATGAACAAGAATTCTAAAGAGTTTTGCATTTGGTGCACCCAAACTCAAAATTATTTTTAAAAAAACTAAAAAACAAAAACCAGGCTTAATGGTTGGAAAGAGACTGGAGGTATCCGAGACTGTAACCCTCAACCACCCTTGAGGTCTGGAATGGAACTCACCTTCATGACCCAATTTTCAGCCAAGCAATAGATAGGTATATAGGGGGCACAACAACACAAGAAAGGTATGCTCATGATGGAATGGTCAATCATTCAAGATCAAAAGGCAACATTTACCTGTGGGGGTTACTGGGAAGGTGGGATAGAGTTTGTCCCGAAAAAATTTCCAAGGCAATTTGCCAATCTGCATTGTCCTGCAAAAAAGTGGTTATGGTTAGAACTAGGATGAGTGTTGGGTAGGGGTTGAGCTAGGGCTAGGAGTAGGAACTTAGTCTAGTTTTAGGGTTATAATTAGATTTTTATTGAATTTTTTTCTTGAAATGTACTGGATTTCATCTTCATTTGGAAGTTCTGAAACTATACTATTCCCTCTTGGTTTGGTTTTGTTGTTGTTTTTATCATAAACTTAAAACCCTGGTTCCCCTCTTTCAGTCTTGTAGATTTGTTTTACTTTGGATACTTGTATATCTTTGTTGAATTCTGGGTGATATTGTCATGTATGCTAATCTCAAGTTGTTGTCTGATGTTTGTTGGTTTTCTAGCCAAAGAATTCCCTTTAGTATTTTTCGTAAAGCTGGTGTAGATTTTACGAATTCTTTTAATTTCTTTTTATCTGTAAATGTCTTAAATTAATCACCATATTTTATGGACAATTTTGCTGCAAATATGACTTTTGGTTGACAATTTTTTTCTTGTCATCTATTGTCTTCTTGCCTGCTTAATTTCTGCTAATAAGTTAGAGTTTAGTTGTAGTTGTCATTGTTGATTTTGTTATGTGCTGTTGAGTCAGTTCCGACTCATAGTGACCCTGTATAGGGTTTCTGAGGAGCGGCTGGTAAGTTTGAACCGCCAACCTTGCGATTCAAACCCACCTGTGGTCGAGTGCTTATCCTACAGCTCCACAACAGAACTCCTTAGTTGTATTAGAGTTAACTTTTCACCCAAGCTGATCTCAGGAGTCTTTCCTTGTCTGTGGTTTTCAAGAGTTTGATTATAATATGTCTTGGTGATTTTCTTTTGGGGCCAAATGTGTTTGGAGTCGGTTCAGCTTCTTGAATGCAAATCTTCTCATCTTTCACTATGTTTGGAAAGTTTTCCTCCAGTAATTCTTTAACAATTTTCTGTGATTTTTGGCTACTCTTCCTGTTCTAAAATTCAAGTCATACATAAATTATTCCTCTTGTTGGTGTCCCACATAATTATTAGGCTATCTTTGTTTTGGTTTTTTTTTTTTTTTTTTTTGATTGCTCCACTAGCAGATGAATATTGAGAGATTTGTTTTCAGGCTCACCAATTTGACCTTCCATTGATTCAGTTGTACTTCTCTGCCCCTTTAATTTTTTTTTTTTTTAAATAGCTTTTATTGTGGATTGAGTGATAGTTTACATGGGAGAACAGTGGTTTTGCACTCATCCTATCATATTTTGTTACATTACAATGATTATAGTCCCCTTCATGCATCATCATTTAACAGTATTTGCTTCTATTCTCTCTGGGTTTTTTTGTTTTGTTTTGTTTTTTTTATGTACATATAAACAATCAGGAATATATAATCATTTAAACAAACAAAGGGCACATTCTGCAAGCCAGCCTCCTGGCCCACCAGCACACAGCCTTTCTCTTTCCATGAGTCTAGAGTCCTCAGCAGCTCTATCTCTCCATACCATCACCTCTGCCTCCATCTCTGGTGTTGCTGCTTCTCTGGTTAGGGTCCCATGTTCCTCTCATGCTCTTCTCTCTTAATGGTCTTAGGGCCCTCTGTTCCTGGAATGTAAGATTAACTACTCCCCCTTTATGCTACAAAACATTTACCTTTACAGTGTGACAATTGCAATTAGTCATAACAATTACTGACTATAGAATCAAAAGAGTCCTATCCCTATCTCCTTTCACCAGACCCATCTAGACAAGATGAAAACTATTCAGAGGGGTTTTACCTTCGCCATACGATCTAAAACTAAATTCCCTCTTGAAAACTTGTAAGCCAGTCACTTTTTTATAGCCACCCCCATTTTAGGTAGCCATTGTCTAATTTTCCTGACCCTATCAGCACTGTATACTGCGAGGACAGGCTTGATCCTTGATGTGACGACGCCTCCCCTCTTAGTTGGTATTTTGAGCTATTACATCCATAAATATAGGCCAAATTGATCAAATTGTAGCAAGTTGCACTTGGTTCCTTCATCACATTTCTTTATATTCCTCTAGTTGAGCTCTGGTCATCAGTCCATTGAAGCTAGGTCAAATGTGTACTATCTGCAAGTTTGGGCATTCTTGTGCTTTTCCCCCACTTCATGTCAGCTGGATGCTTCACTCTCAGCTGTAGTCCTCTGTGGCTAGGTCAATGTCCATGGGCTCTGGAGTTCCCTAGTCTCCCCAAACTTCGCACCAACCAGCCTTTCCTCTTCTCTCTCTCATCTCAAAATCGATAGGAGTCTATGGAATGTGGTCAAACTCAGCCCATATCTTCATTGCTGCCTTTCCCCTTCTTCCACTCACATGTAGACCAGTATGGTCACCAGTGAGCCTACATGCCTGCTCATGTGTTCCCTTTGAGTTTTTAGTCGTGGACAGGGGTTTGCCCTGAAGCGACTTGATTGCTTGCCTTGTTGGCTCCCTGGCTAACAGCTTGCTTGTTCTTGTAATCTGTCCCTTTAATTTTTAATCTCTTGCAGAAATCTAAGTACTAATTTTCTATGTCTCTATTGCTGTTTTTGTATGGTTTCTAATTTTTCACTTATTTTATCAGTTCTTATAATTTTTCCTGATTCTTGTAAAGTTTTTTCTGTGTTCTCCTTGTTTTCATCTACAACTTTCTCTTTTGTTCTCTCCAGCCTTTGGCGGTACCTCAATATTGTTCAATATTATTCTGATACCATTTCTGGTATTATATTTTCTGATTGTATTGTGTGGTTACCTGTCTGAACCATCTCCCTTGTTTCTTCATGTAAGCTGAAATTATCTGTTTTGTCTGAGACATTGTGGTG